GCCAACGGAAGGCTTGCGATGATGGCCATCATCGGCATGTTCTTTCAGGTGGGGTAATGATGCAAACAAACATGTTGCTGCGGCCTCCCCAAGTTGAATTATATAAGCATTGGCAAATTGCTGGTGTCGTTTGGCACCACAGGATGGCCTCACCGGAAGTGCGTGGGGCGATTGGGCCAACTACACTGCGTCACCGTTGCGTGCTTTCGAGAATGAGCTCGGGGCGCAGGTCTGATATGCACGCGCATGCTCGTGCACAACTTAGTCAACACTAACATAACAGCAAAAGTCTGTGTTTTGCACTTGTCGTAACCTCAAATCGAAGCTTTTGCAATACATGAATGTGCAGCTTCTCAAACAACACCCCCCGGAGCTCAAAAGCCGTCAACAGGCTCCGGTGGGATTTTTTGATCCATTCGGTTTGACGAAGGTGCGCCTGTGCTTGGTTCTTTCATTTGCTGGTTCGCTTTCGGGATTACGGCATGGGTCGAGGGCTCCGGGATTGAAGTTTAGTTTGCGGCAGAACCGTCATCCATCAAGAAATTTTCATGACCCAAATGTGCTGAAGGCGACGTCCAGCCTCAACCCACTCAGTTTCGGAACCACAAACCCGCAAGCTTCAATTCCTTCAACGTTGATTCAGCTTCGGCCAGCTCAGAGATAACGTGTAGGACTGGGCTTATGGTTGAAGTGCAGTTCCGGGACTCAGAATGCAGGGCGTGGAGATGCAGTCTTCGTCAGGGTTCAGGTTAGAAAAGCTTGGTGAGCGCAGTAAGAGTTGGATCTTGCAGTTCTGCTCAGGGCCAAAGTAGGTGTTGTCGTCGTTGCGATTGCGCGAACTATTACAGACTTAACCATGCGTGGCCGTGAACCACAGCGCCACATCGAGAGCTAAAGCACAAACCCCCACTTCGTGTAGGAGATCACGAATATCAAGTGGTTGAGACTTAGGAGGATCTTAAACTGATATGGTAGAGCCCTGATGAAACCCCCCCCAAATAGGCAAGGAAGAGGATGATCATAGCAATGGGCAACCAAAGAGAATCGTGGCAAACAAGAGAAAAAAGGAGGGGTTGTTAATCAGTGGTCTGCGCGCAAACGACGCTTTCACCAAAAGGATGGTGATGTGGAGGCCTTCAAGCGACGCCGTGCCACGGACCTTTGCCGGGATTGTTGGCGGATTTTTGGATTGTTGCTGTACATCGCCCTTTCGGTGTTACAATTATACCTACTATTACCTAGTTATTTCTAGTTCTGAACTATCAAGTTGTTTCCACCAGCTTAAGTTCATGATTGATATTTCGGTCACAACTGTGAAGCGGCCATTCTCACAACATTGCAAATAAAAGCGACACTCGTGAACACAGGAAGAGGCTGACGACGCTTACCTTACCATCGTCGTCCGGTCATCGTTATTGCCAGAGTTTTTATGGTTTTATTCGTCACCATGAGTGTCATCTTCATAGATTCATAGCAGTGATCGCATCATTGTCTTGTCAGCATGCTCCCAGCACTTTGAGCAATGCTTGCTACTCAAGGTGAGATCACAGCAGAGAAGCCGGCATGGGCAAAAGAAGGTCATATAAAATCTTCATAAGCTGAAAAACAAGCTGTGAAAACATGCTGCCGCACCACCAGCATCACCACAAACAATCGCCAACTAATTCCTATTATATCCAACGCTTGTTTGCGTACAAGCACTGTGCTGAACTTTAGTGTGCCGACGCAAACAGGCTATCATGCTAGAGACAGTAAAGTAGCGTGAATCATCTCATAATATCCAGCCACGTACCTTGCGTGTTGCAGATACTTCTGATCCTCGCAGTAAGGCAGGTTAGTGCACTGTAGTGTGCAGTGTACCGCAGTGCGTTGTCATGCCACGGCATCGGTACTATGGAGGGGACCACGGAGATGCTTGCATTGTTGCATGGACATGAACATGAGCATGAAGACGAGAGTTTTGGCGTTAAGCTTGCCCCGCATCGCTCCGAATATCAACACACCCCCGAACCCCCAAAATGCTTTGGAATTCTTGCCAGGAGTTGAAGAACGGCCGTGTGGCAATGCTTGCCACCATGGGTGCTGCCGCCACTGATTGCGTTTGGGTGCTTGCACTGATGATTTCACACAGTAACTTTGTTTTTTTGGGCAGGGCTGAGCTCTTCATCACCCATGCGAGCGGCGTTGGACAGACTCTCGTTGTTGCTGGGATGCTTCAGAAGGGCGTGAAGCAAAGGAACGGGCTGGTTATCGTGGCATCGTGGCAGGCTACATCGTTCCGGAATACTTCCGCTTCCCAGGACTGCTTGAGCCAGCGCGTTGCACTGATCATTGAAGTTGGATCGATTCAAAAACCAAGCCCCATTAAACTCCCGTAGCTCAAACTAAACCCAGCAGGATACTGCTCCCCGTCTGCTGGTCTCAAGTTCACGGACATCCCGAACGGCTTGGCGGCACTGAGCAAGGTCGGCATCAGAGCTTCCGATGCTCCCCTGAAATCCGAAATTAGGGTTTAGGCTTTGAGGGTTTAGTGTGAATCTTCGGGATATCCTGAAGCCGCAGTCTCTCAATTCTAAGAGGGATGTTGGGATGTAGTGATGTACCGGACAAAGCAACGTCTGGTTACTACTGTTGCTAGAATTGGGGGTTTCAGGTTAGGGCGTATACAGCCGGCACCACATACAACCCTGAAGCGACCTTTACCTGCCAATCCCATAAAAGCCTCGAACACCCGCAATGGCCCTGAAGAATAAGACCCTCGTTTGAAACACCGACCTTTGACACATCCTGAAGAAACCCTTGCAGACCCCCCCTTGCAGACCCGCCCTTGCAGACCACCAAAACTCGGAAGGTCCCAGGGGCAGGCTGGACACAGATCTTCCTCTTCCTGGGCCTCGTGGAAGCTTTGTTCCGAAGGGGTTAGCATGTGTAATGCAGGGCCTTTGTAACCGTTAGAAGAGGGTTTCGGAAAGGGTGCTGTCTTATGCGCTTAATCAGTGGGACGGGGCTTCGGAGTAAATGAGAGCAGAATACAAATATAGGAATCACTGAAAGGAGATGATTAGTGCTTATGCAGACAACTATATTAGGATCAGGTACAAGGGTTCCAGAATTTTTGGAAGGGTGCCAGAACGGGCTTGCGAGGGGTTCATGAGGTTTGGGAGTTTAGTGGTTTTGGCGTCAATGGGTCGCGAGTTTCAGGGTTTAGGGCTGGGGCATTGGCAGAGAGGCTGGAGGCCTCGAGGCTCTTGTGGTTATTATGGTTGGGGGGTTTTCAGGCCTTGAGAGACTTTGATGGTTCATTGTCGAAGGCTTCGGATTTTCATGGTTTACGCTGAACGGCTCTTTTCTTGGTTTGGATGTTTCACTGGTGGGGGTTGAGGGCTGCGGAGGGTTTGAACTCTTCGTGGTTTCAAGTGTGGTTTGAGGTCGTATGATCCGAGTCACTGTGGGGTTTTTAACACTTAGGTTTCAAGTTGTTGAGAATGTAGGCTTAGTGGGGAAGGGTGTAATAGTTTAAGATTGAGAGCTTATAGGATTTTCAAGGTGTGGATGGGGTAGGCTTCGGGGCTAGTTTGTTTTTTGAGATGTAGGCTACGGCTGTGGGATTTAGGAAGTGCACCGGTTTAGTCATTCGGATTTTAGAGTTGCGCAAATCCTGAATCACCTGCTGCTCCCCTACAAACTAAACCGACGACATATCTTGCAAACACTAGCGAACACATGCAGCACTTTGCGTGGACTAGGGTTCTTTCGTGGTTCTACACAGTAAGGGCTTTTTAAGGATTGTTAATTTGGCTGGTATAAAGGTTAGTATGACCATGAGGATTATCGCGGGCAGTCATGAACGTTAGCATAGAAGAGATTTTTGCAAGGGTTTCTGGAGGGCTGCTCGCTGTAAGACTATGTATAGACTATAAGGCTGACTATGCAAGCGACTATCCCCTAAACCCTAAACCCTCAACCACTGGCCGTGAAGCCCAGGAGAAGGGACTCTACACCTACGATCCCACCCGCGAGCCGGGTGCAGCTTGCCGTCCAACCTGGCCGGGATGTAGGAATCGCTTAGGGTTTAGGATTTACGGTTCAAAGTCAATGGTATCGAGCATGCAAACCAGCAAGAAGGCTTCTCCGATATAGACGGCTTCCTGATGGTCCGTTGCGTGTCTTCAACGGATTCTCGCTGCGGGTTCCAGTTTGCGGCACCGGGGGTTGGAAGACCTAAACTCCTTGGGAACGCGTTGAAAGAAAGAGGTCCTGCCGGACCTCATGCCCGTCAGCTCTAAATCAGATGAGGCTTTCTTTCTCAACCCCGAGACCCCAGAAGGCCATAAAACCTAAGACCCCAAGACAACGAAACTCACATGACGGCCAAATCCATTATGATCTGCTTGAAGGCCAACCTGCAAGGACGGATTTCAAGACCCCCGAGAGCCTGGTTGGACTTCAAAATATTAGTTAGTTGTACCCGCCTAATCGTCCTTATATTCAATATACCAAAAAATGCCATTCTAATGTTTAAGGCCCTAGCAATCCCTATCATGCAACCCAACACAAGCTTGTAGCGATCTAGTAACAAAACCTTTTAAGAAGACTTTTCATATAAAACCTTTCACAAAAAAAACTCTAAGAACTACGCCAATGCGGGCGTCCTTGGCGTGCCCAACGGCAGCACCATGGCAGAGGGCGAAGGTGGGTGTTGCGTTTGGAGTTGAAGTGATCAGAATTGGGAGCTACGGTTTTGGGATTTGGGTCCTTTAGGTTTTGCCGTTCTAATCTGGGAGGGGCGTGTCCTGGACACCTG